TCCACGAGAATGACACCACCAGTGGGAGCTTAAAGTCGGAAATTGGAACATATCCTCACTCAGAGGAAAACAACAATATTTAGTTGATGAGTAAATAAAGTACCAACTCGACATTGTTGGACTCTCGTCGACAAAACGTCTAGGCTCTTGACTCCTGAACCATAATGGATGGAAGCTGTTCTACTCGGGCGCCGATATCACGACTCGCATTTAGGCCGGTGTTGGCGTTCTAATAGAACCCAACCTTACCGATAGAATAATCGGTTGGAAGCCTATCAGCGGAAGGGTGATAATACTCCGAGTGAAGCTACAACAGGCTAAATCGATGAGATTGGTACAGGTCTATGCGCCCAACTTGGAGGGAAAATATGAAACATAAATAGAGGAAGTGCAGTATGCTCTGTCTGAACTGCTGAATACAGAGTCCCTCATACAAATGGGCCATTTTAATGCACACACCGGAGTAGACGCTGAGTAGTGCAACGGCGTAATTGGGAAAAACGGCTCTAGCGACCTCAACAATAACGGTATGAAGTTGTTAAGTTTTTGTGCAAACAACTTATTGTCCATTATGAACACCTTCTTCGAGCATCGAAAAGTGCATCAGTACACCTCGTACCAGGAAGCTTGGACACAGAAGTCGATGATCGATTTGATAATCGTATCCTCTGAATCTGTTCGTGTTAAGAGGGGCGCAGAGCTATCAACCAATCATCACCTTCTTGTTGGTACGCTGCACCGCAAGAAATGGAGTACCATACGAAGATCTGGTGGCAGAAGCTACAGGAGAAACAAATCGGAAACACAATCTTCGGTGAGCACGAGAGCAAACAACATCGCGCGACGGTTTGAACAGATGCCAATGATGACAACTGATATTGAAACCGAGTGGCAGCTCTTTAAGAGCGGCATACCCGAGGTTGCCGCCGAATGCTGCGGACATAAACGGGTTTGCCTGCCGCCTGGAGGTCAGAAAAGATCTTCATGGTCGACACGAGAGGTACAACTGGCAGTCAAAGAGAAGAAAGCAGCGTTCAAGAAATTCCTTGGAAACAAGGAGCCATCTACTCGCGTGCGATATGTCGAGGCATGCAAAGCGGCATCCATAGCAGTGGCAAAAGCTAAGGCTGATTCCTGGAAGAAGTTCTGTGAGGTGCTGGAGTCGAATTTCCACACGGCAAACAAAGTATTCTGGCAGGCCATTTGCCGGCTCCGATGTTAAAAAACGGGCAGTCCAAGAGTCTCGAAAGACAGATCTGGACACCCTCTTACCAAGGATGATGACATTCTTCGGCGATGGAGGGAGTACTCTGAGGAACTCCTTAACCGCAACAGCAGGAACACTCGCCTGTAGAGAAGAAGGGTACGGATATTACTATCATTGTAGATGAAATTCCACAAGCTATGAAAAGTTTAAAAAATGGAAAAGGTGCTGGAAACGACGAAATCCGCCCTGAGATGCTCAAAGCATTAGGCGAACAAAGCATGTGCTGGTTAACACGTGTCTATCAAACTGCGATGACTGCGGGAAAGACACCAGCGGACGGGAGAACAGGAGTTATTGTACTCGTATTCAAGAAGAGAGACCACAAGGAATGCTCCAATTATAGGAGCATAACGTTACTGCGCCTCCCAGGTAAAGTCTACGCAATGGTGTTAGAAAGGAGGTGCCGTGAAACAGTTGACCTTAAGATCCAAGAAGAGCAGTGTGGCTTCCGGTCCAGTCGAACCACCTCTGACCATATATTTGCCCTGCGCCAAATTGCTGAGAAATCGTGGGAGTACGTCCAGCGGGTGTACATGTGTTTTGTGGACCTACAGAAAGCGTATGACCGGATCCCACGCAACAGCCTGTGGACATGCCTTCATGTATACGGGATTGATGGCCAGCTGGTAAGGGCCGTCCAATCACTGTATTCTGATAGCAGATGCTGTGTCAGAGTTAATGGCATTAAGTGGACACCATTCAACGTTTGCACTGGTCTCCACCAAGGCTGCGTCCTGTCCCCTATCCTGTTTCTGTTGTAAATGGACAGAATAGTCAGGAGCTGCCAAGGCGATAAGGGTATTGGTGTAGGAGATGTGAAGTCGAGAAGGTTGCTGTTTGCAGGTGATCTTGCTTTATTAGCATCTTCTGAAACTGATCTCCAGTGCTCCTTAGAAAG